CAACGTATTACTTTTGGCCTTCTGTTCATGAGACCCCTGCAGTGGTGGCTCAGGACCAAGGGGTTTTCTCCGAGGGGAAATACGTTTTCGCATGATCAAGGTCACGCGGCTTTGCCTTCGTGCTTCGGTCATGTGGAAGAACCTTGGTTCCTCGCCCAGGCCCAGTGTTGGGGGCTTCTTGTCGACGCATATTGCTATCGACGGATGCTTCCCTCACAAGTGGGGGCGATCATGAGTGGTTGCTCGGCGAATGGCGGACAACACACTGATGGTTTCGTATATCAGAGCAGATATCCTGTTGAGGCAGGGGCTGAGGCCCAGGGGATTGGAGACTTCACCCCGAGGTGGTGGAGCTTCTTAGGGAGAACTTTGGTCTAACTAAAGTCAAGTCGACCTTTCACATCGTTTGTACAACGCATTGCTCTATATGGTTCCCCCTCACGCAGCCAGCTCTTCTCGGACTGGATGCGATGGTGCAGGTGTGGCCGAGGCTGCACCTGTACGCATTTCCCCCGATATCTATGCTCCCGGAGGTTCTGGAGAGGGTTCGCCGGGAAGGGGCTCATCTGCTACTAGTAGCCCCATACTGGCCGACTCGAGTTTGGTTCTCGGACTTTGTCTCTTCTGGACGGCTCTCCCATGGAGATTCCGTTCAGGAGGGACCTGCTGTCCCAAGCAGGGGGCACGATATTTCACCCTCGACCGGAGTTGTGGAAACTGTGGGCCTGGCCTCTGAGGGGGCCAGGCTCATAGAATCCAGTCTCTCGACTGAGGTCGTTGAGACATTCTCCATTCCAGAGCTCCTTCCACGAGAAGACTGTATGCACTGAAATGGAAATTATTCTCCACCTGGTGTGGTGAGCGTCAGTTAGATCCTGTTAACTGCCCTGTTGGTTCAGTTCTCGATTTTCTGCAAGACCGTTTCTCTGCTGGATTATCTCCTTCCACCTTAAAAGTTTATGTGGCGGCTATTTCGGCCTATCATACCCCTCTGGGGGGTACTTCTTTTGGGAGAGATCCTCTGATTACTCGTTTTCTCCGTGGTACATTGAGGTTGAGACCTGCACTGCACTCTAGAGCACCGGCTTGGGATTTAGCCATTGTACTTGAGGGTCTGGCTCTGGCTCCCTTCGAGCCTATTGAAGAGGTTTCAGAAAAATTCCTCACTTTGAAAGCTTTATTTCTCCTTGCTATTTCATCTATCAAGATAATTGGAGATTTGCATGCCCTGTCGGTTGCTCCGTCATGTCTGGAATTTGCACCTGGTATGGTGAAAGCATTTCTATACCCTAGACCGGGTTATATTCCTAAGGTCCCAGTTATTGTTAGGGGCCCAATAGTGTTGCAGGCCTTTTATCCTCCACCTTTTAATACCCCAGATCAGGAACAACTGAACCTGTTATGTCCAGTTTGGGCATTGGATGCCTACGTTCACAGAGCTGCCCTGTGGCGTAAGTCAGAGCAGTTATTTGTATGTTTTGGGTCACTCAGAAGAGGGTGCCCTGCATCTAAACAGGTTATGAGCAAATGGATAGTTGAGGCTATATCATTGGCTTATGAAGCGGCCGGTCAGCCTTCACCTATGGCTGTACGGGCCCATTCTACAAGGAGTATGGCGGCCTCTACGGCCTTAATTTCGGGTGTTTCCCTTCTTGACATTTGTAATGCGGCAGGTTGGTCCTCTCCACATACATTTGTCAGGTTTTATGACCTTGACCTCTCCACTCCTGGGGCGAGGTTGCTTGCTTCTTAGTGTGCGCAAGGACTTCACACAGAACGGGCATTTGTCACTATGGCGTAGTGGGTATGGGGTTCCCACCGCGTCTCAAACGCAGCTCGAAGTTCCCTTGAAAGGGAACGTCTCAGGTTACGTATGTAACCCTGGTTCCCTGAGAGGGAACGAGACGCTGCGTTTGCCTGCCATACTTCCTGCATGCCCTGATCGACTTGCTTCAGACTTTTCAGAAGCTGTCGCGGTCTGTTTTCAAGGGTGATTTATAGTTTCCTGGTCTATGACGTCACCCATGACGTATCGGGCTTCCATTGGACTGATTTTACACGTGCTTCATGACGCAATCACGCAGAGCGTTCCCACCGCGTCTTAAACGCAGCGTCTCGTTCCCTCTCAGGGAACCAGGGTTACATACGTAACCTGAGACGTTTTTCACTGTAGCATTTTTACGGTGTTTTACCGTTAAAATCACGATAATTTTTTACAGTTTAACTGTAACTTAACACAATCATAAACTTCACATACTGATTAGTTAACACATCTCCCTTAGTAGTTAACAGCAGTGAAGAAGTAGTTAATGAAGAATTACCTACTAGTTCTTCAATAATTCCTTATTAGTTATGCAGTAAGAAACAGTTTTCTAAAGTGTTGCCGAGTAAATTTGAATGCTCTGATCTTTCTAGACGTCTATAAGCGAATGTAAGCCTTAGTAAAGCAAGAATCACGGTTTAATAAGTCTGGACAAGGGCATCAGATAATGCTTTAATCATAAATACTGTACGTGAAACACCGAACATAAAACAACATTGTTTTTTTTAAAAGTTTATTTGAATAGGGACAAGTATGTTTCATAAGCTCATGTTCCATACTACAACATTTTAGCCGAGGCTAATTCTCAATGTTAGTCCCTAGTGGGCCTTTACATGAAATTAAACAATACATAGTTAAAATAAACATAATAACACAATATAAACGCAGCGAACAGTCAGCGGTCACATTTCTGACCTCTGATTAAAGAGTCTTTAAGTTTGTATTTGAAAAGGACCCAGTTTGACTCTCCTCAGTTCAGTGGGTTAGCAGTTCCAGGCTTTAGTGTACAGAGAAAGCTGATTGTCCAAATGAAGTAGTTCCCGTTCTGAGCTCCTCTGAGAGCAACTATGCACTCACTCAAGACCTGTGGGGCTTGCTGATTTAAACATTTATGCATCAGCTTCAACAGAGAAAATTTAGTGAAATTTGCAAAAGATAACATATTCAAATTCCTCAGACTAACACCATGATGTGCCCTAATGGGCTTCCTATCTAGGATTTTAACCGCTCTGTTATAAATCACTTGAAGTGGCTTAACTGCAGTAACCATAGCCGGTGACCATGAGCAGATGCAGTAACTCAGATGCGAGAAGATCATGGCGTGGATGAAATTGTGAGCGGTATATAGTCCCTGATCAGTCTGAATGTAGAAAGATTTGCTTTGGCTACTCGACAGATTTTTTTTATATGATTGTCAAATTTAAGTTGAGAGTCAAGTACAAGGCCCTGGGGATTTGACCTCTGAGCCCTGCTGGATCTTATCCGTAAATTTAGTTCTTCTGATATGGACTTGAATCTTGAGGCAAAGCAAACAGACTTAGGGCCCTATTTTAACGATCTGAAACGCAAGTGTCAAAGCGCAAAGCGCAAGTAACTTTGTGGGCGGATCCCGGCGCTGTTGCTATTTTCCCGGCGGGATAAATGCCTCTTGCGCCTGGCGCAAATCTAAAAGAGGTTGGTCTGAAGTAGCTTCATTATTCATAGGTGTGGTTTGGGCGTAACGTGGAATAAACCAATCAGAGCGTCATCTCCCATTCCCTTTAAGAGCAGGTGCGCATGTTGCATGGCGGATTGCTATTATAACGGCGGATTTACCAGGCGCGCGTCAGGAGCGGTTCACAGCCGAGGAGACTGACGTTCTTGTCAGGACCGTGAAAGACAGAGAAGTGACATAGTATTGCGTGTTTTGCGTGCACCTGTAAACTATGGCATAAACCCTCATGCAGTAACACCCTCAGACGGCACTGTTTATTGACTGTCTGAAGTAGAATGCATGCAGAAATAACAAGAAATTCAACGTTCAAATCAGACTTATCTATCTATTTATCTCTCTATCTATCTATCTATCTATCTATCTATCTATTTATCTCTCTATCTATCTATCTATCTATCTATCTATCTATCTATCTATCTATCTATCTATCTATCTATCTATCTATCTCTCTATCTATCTCTCTATCTATCTATCTATCGTGGGTGGGTTTCTCCCATCCCCATACAAATCAGCGTCGGTTAAACAGGCGTGGGAGGAAAAAAACTAAATTTTCATGGACACCACAATGATTCCCCTCATGTGTTATTTTTCCTTGTTATAATGTATGATTTGCAAAAATAAAAACTGCTGCATCTGTGTTGATGAGAGAATCAAAGTGTATGCGTGTTGTGCACCCGCTACATTATGGCCAAGCATGCGCGCTTAAAATAGCATTATGAACAACGCGCAACGCGCCACTGACTTTAGACTAGTTTTTTTCTGGTCAGTGGCGCAATTGTTTTATAGAACAGCAAAATAGCATGAGGGAACGTTTGCGCCGGAACACGCCTCCTCTTTGCGCTGAACCGCCCCGGGGAGCGCAAGTGTATTTCTTAGTTAACCGACGTGCGTCTGTGGAGGGAAAAGTCCGCTTTGCGCGGGTGCAAAATAGGAATGATACATGCGTCAGTGTACAAAGTCATTTGCGCCGAGTGCAAGATAGAGCCCATAGTCTTTTTAACATTCAACGTCAGACCTGCATTTAGAAACCACACCGCCACTTTTTGCAGGTATTTTGCCAGTTCATCAGAAACGGCATGCACACTTTCCCCTCGCACATAAACCACTGCATCGTCAGCGTAAATCCTGCTGTGGGACACGAGTCTGGCAGATCATTAACATACAGGGCCCTATTTTGCACTCGGCGCAAATGACTTTGTACACTGACGCATGTATCATTCCTATTTTGCACCCGCGCAAAGCGGGCTTTTCCCTCCACAGACACACGTCGGTTAACTAAGAAATACACTTGCGCTCCCCGGGGCGGTTCAGCGCAAAGAGGAGGCGTGTTCCGGCGCAAACTTTCCCTCATGCTATTTTGCTGTTCTATAAAACAATTGCGCCACTGACCAGAAAAAAACTAGTCTTCCCTTGGCTTCTGTTATTGTTGTAATGTAGTACTCATTGATTGCACAATATGAATGCTTAATTACAGGTGAAAACTTCTCCTAAAATGGAAACCAGCAAGATCATCTCATCTGATAAAGCCACAGTGGTCATCCAAGTGAATCCACAGGTGACACAGAATATTGTGCCTGGAGATGATGGACAGGAGAGCAGAGGAGCACACCGCAGTACGGCTCTTACTGGGTTTTCCAAATCACAGCCAAAGGCACTGGGGGTAATGCATTTAATGAAGAATTATAATTAGGTATGATTTGGGCAATATTTTTAGTGTCTAATTTACTTCTGTGTAAAAAATTAACAGAAAATAAAAAACTGTTATCATATGACCTCAAGTTAATAGGTGTGTGTGTGTTCGTGTTTGTGTGTGCCATTATGAAGAACACTATTGACTCATATCTGCCCTGTCTAGACTGTCCAGATAATGATTGGAGTGGTGGTTTTATTATTGGGTATCGTACGCACCGCCACTACCCCCCGTTACCCACCTATCTCTGTCTTCAGTGGCATCACCTACTGGGGATCCGTTACTGTAAGTGTCATTTAATGGTTTTACTTTAAAGCCTCTCTTCTTGATTACCAGAATGAACTGTGAAATGTCCTGTGTCTCTCAGTTCATCAGTGCTGGATCTCTGTCTGTTGCTGCGCAGAATAAACTTCATCTGTGTGTGGTATGTACATATGTGCTGAAATCTGATAACCTTTCTTTTGCCACATTGTACACTACACAACATTCCACTTGTGCTCGTCCCAGTCCCTGCCATTGAGTGATCAGTGATTAGTTGAATGAAAGTGAGAAATGTAGATCTCCTATAAAGTGATTTTTACATCAAATTTAGCTATTCTGTCAAAATGTATATACATATGAATAATTACAAATTGAGGCAAATAAGTTTTAAAAATGCCATAAATTCCCCCTAAAAAACTCTCTTTTACCACAGTAGTCAGAAGCTTGCACATTAATCTCAGCTTTCTTATAGAACAATGACACATTTTTTGTTACGGGTGTGGTGCAGGTTGAAGGAGAGGCAGCAGTCAGCAGATCAAATGCAATAATCTTTACTAATATAACTCAAAACAGGAATCCAGGAACATAACCACACCAAATACAAACGTACCATACACAAACGAGAACCGACAAGGAGTGAGGGAGAACACAGGGTTTACATACACAGAGAACAGATAGGGAAACAAGGCACAGCTGGGACAAATTAACTAAACACAGGTGAAGGAACTGAACACAAACGAGGAGCGGGAAAACTGGGACACTGGACTGAACCAAAAATACTAAACAGGGGGAAACACAGGACATACATGTAACATTAGCCCCCCCTCCTGCAAGGCGCGTCCTCGCGCCGAGTAACATCAATAAGGGTGGGGGGGTGGGCGCCCTGGAGGCTGATGAGGGAGTGGCCTACCCGGAGCAGGAAGCCTCCAGGGCGGAGCAGGACGTGCAGGAGGCCAGGGCGGAGACTTTCCCTCGGGCGGCCAGGGTGGAGACTTTCCTTCGGGTGGCCAGGGTGGAGAGGCCACTTCAGGTGGCCAGGGTGGAGAGGCCACTTCAGGTGGCCAGGGTGGAGAGGCCACTTCAGGTGGCCAGGGTGGAGACTGTCCCTCGGGTGGCCATGGTGGAGAGGCCACTTCAGGTGGCCATGGCGGAGACGCACCTTCGGGCGGCCATGGCGGAGAATCCCCTTCGGGCGGCCATGGCGGAGATGCACCTTCGGGCGGCCATGGCGGAGACGCACCTTCAGGTGGCCTATATCCCCCCCCCCCCAAAACTTTCTTGGGGGGAATCACAGGCTCTGGGACAGGCTCTGGGACGTGGACAGTCTCTGGGTGGGCAGAAGGGACGTGGAAAGTCTCTGGCTGGGCTAGCGGTGAAGGCCCGGCTATGCTGGATGGAACCAGCGGTGAAGGCTCAGAAGGACTGGACGGGACCAGCGGAGAAGGCTCTGAAGGGCTGGACGGGACCAGCGGAGAAGGCTCTGAAGGGCTGGACGGGACCAGCGGAGAAGGCTCTGGCTCGGCCGGCGTGACGCGAAGCTCCGGCCCGGCAGGCGTGACGCGAAACTCTGGCTCGGCAGGCGTGCAGGGAAGCTCAGGCTCGGCAGGCGTGCAGGGAAGCTTAGGCTCGGCAGGCGTGCAGGGAAGCTCAGGCTCGGCAGGCGTGCAGGGAAGCTCCGGCTCGGCAGGCGTGCAGGGAAGCTCAGGCTCGGCAGGCGTGCAGGGAAGCTCAGGCTCGGCAGGCGTGCAGGGAAGCTCAGGCTCGGCAGGCGTGCAGGGAAGCTCAGGCTCGGCAGGCGTGCAGGGAAGCTCAGGCTCGGCAGGCGTGCAGGGAAGCTCAGGCTCTGCAGGGCTGCAGGGAAGCTCAGGATCGGCAGTGCTGGACGGGACCAGCGGAGAAGGTTCGGCTGGGCTGGACTGAACCAGCAGTGAGGGCTTGGCTGGGCTGGACGGAACCAGCGGTGAGGGCTCGGCTGGGCTGGACGGAACCAGCAGTGAGGGCTTGGCTGGGCTGGACGGAACCAGCGGTGAGGGCTCGGCTGGGCTGGACGGAACCAGCAGTGAGGGCTCGGCTGGGCTGGACGGAACCAGCGGTGAGGGCTCGGCTGGGCTGGACGGAACCAGCAGTGAGGGCTCGGCTGGGCTGGACGGAACCAGCGGTGAGGGCTCTGGCGCAGGATCAGCGGGCTCTGAGGCAGGATCAAGGATGAATGGCGTGACGAAGATGGCTGGAGCCATCACTGGGGTGATGGTGATGCGGAGACCTCTCTCCATCAGGATCCTGATGAGGTAGTTAGTCAGGTCATGACCAGCCAAGTCCATCTTTTGTTTGGTCGGTTCTTCTGTTACGGGTGTGGTGCAGGTTGAAGGAGAGGCAGCAGTCAGCAGATCAAATTCAATAATCTTTACTAATATAACTCAAAACAGGAATCCAGGAACATAACCACACCAAATACAAACGTACCATACACAAACGAGAACCGACAAGGAGTGAGGGAGAACACAGGGTTTACATACACAAAGAACAGATAGGGAAACAAGGCACAGCTGGGACAAATTAACTGAACACAGGTGAAGGAACTGAACACAAACGAGGAGCGGGAAAACTGGGACACTGGACTGAACCAAAAATACTAAACAGGGGGAAACACAGGACATACATGTAACATTTTTACTATTAAAGGAATGTGGACTAAACGGAGATCTGACTCATTATGAATTTACATATTTAAAACCTGCAGTTCAGGACATTTTATAAGTGTACACCTTTACTATTTCGGTCACCCTTCACATGTCAGCTTTGTCCCCTGCAGGTGAAAGCCTCTCTTATAATGAATGTGTTCAGTGCCATAACTGCAGCGATCGCCATTGTTCTGATGTCCATAGAGATGGGAATTAAGATTTACGATCTAAGGTGGAACTATGGCGGTAGTAGTTCTTATGACCGCTATAATTTGGAGGTACTAAATGTACAATGTGCAATACTATATAATTATGTGATCAGTTTATTTTATTTTTCTTTAATTACTGTTTACTCTAATAGTTCTCCCAAAAATGACAACTGTGTCATCATCTACTAATTGAAACCATTTTTTACTAATAAAGATTGTCTTTTCCATAGAGTTATAATGACTAACGACGCAAAATTGTGTTTTAAATGACACAAAAGGCATCATAGAAGTATCATAAAAATGACAAAGTAATCCATGTGACTTGTGCACTCAACCTCACTCAATATAATCGATTGGATATTATTTGTAATCTACTTTTATTTGATCTTGTTGAATATATTTTAGGGCTATGATCTGGGGATCGTTGGAATAATGCTGGTGTTCTCCATTACTCAGTTCTTCATCTCCATCTGTGTCTCAGGATTTGCCTGCAAAGCCTCCTGTAACACAGACTCTACAGTGGTCAATGTGGCACTAAACCAGGTATACGATTAAGTGGAAATTATGTAATTTTCTAACTATAACCAGGGTGGAAAGTCAGTTTGATCCCAACAACAAGTTTTTTATTTTTAAAATTTAGGTTTAAAAAAGCCACAACCAACCAGAATATGTTTAATTGTAAGCTGCATTTTACCTCACTGGTCTAAAACTAGGACAATATACGGAACATGTTCAAATTTTAAATAAACTTTTTTTAGTCTTGTATTTCTGAAATAGTCATGCTACATAGAAAACAACTAATTTACTACTAATTAAAAACAACAACTGCACACAGTATGCAAACAATTCAATTCAATTCACGTTTATTTGTATAGCGCTTTTCACAATACTCAGAGCAGCTTTATAGAAAAGGCATGAGTCCACATTACACTGTTATCAGAGGAAATTGTCCAAGTTATGCATGTCAGAAATGTAAATATACAAAGTCATAGTTAGCTAAAATATACTAATTTAAACAATGTAATAATTTAATGCAGATATAATGTGCCCATTAAAGTAATGAATGCTTGTTTAACAAATGATTATAACGTTTAGAAAATATAGCATTAGTGCATGTTGATTCAGAGTTTGCGTCAGCTGAAGTCTTCGCAGGAGTTGGCGCCGTATATAGGAATATAGGAACTAGAAGTCAATCACAACTCCATTGTAAACTGTGGCCTTTATGGTGGGTAACAGGGTAACACTTTACAATAACAGTACATGAATAATTCAGGTATTAGTACATGATTAATAATTACTATGAACTAATGATGAGTTAAGACATGTCCTAATAAAGAACTAACCTTAATAAAATAGTCATATGAATGCCTGCATGAATATACCATCTTAACTACACGTTAGTACATGCTTGTTAATTAATGTATTAAACTAAATCAAACATGCTCTAGATTAGAATAAAGATGTATTAAAAGGGCACAATGTAAAATTGTTCATAAATTTGCCACCAGCAACTGTCACAAACATCAGTGAATGACACTAGATGTCTTGCAATATTTACATTTCACCTTACTCATTGAACACACAATGATGCATTCATCACTAAAAACAATTTAATCTCATTCCGTTTTAAGTCATTCCACTTCTGCCATCAAGAGTGAAATACCTACACTAACATATTCATTAACAGATGCAATTTTCAAAATTAAAATCAGTGTTAGCACAGATGATGGTTATTTCTGTGGTGATTTTGTGGATTGGTTTACTGTCTTCATTTCATAATGCAGTCAGATGTTACGCCCGTTTCACACATACTCCGTTTGCAGTGCGTATGTGAAAGCACTATAGCGCGTGCTGCTGCTCCCGTACCGCAAACGCACGCAAAAAAATTTAAATGCAAAAGAAAAGGCATTAGAGTCGGCTGTTTTTGTCAATTTTAAAATGTTTGCGATTTTAATATAAGTACATGGTTAAATATTTGACCACTTGCTTGAGCAACTTATTATATATAGAAGTAATGCATGGAATTATGGGTTGTTTAAATAGTTTTTAAACAACCCATAATTCGTTGTTTAAATTGTGGTTCAACGTGCATACGTCCATTCAAGTTTATGTGTACAAAGAGAATCGCAATGCTGACAAAACTTTTTTTTAAATAAAAGTTGCTGCATAACTTCTGGATTTGAAATAATAATAGTGAGTAGGCCTATGTGTTCGTGGTACAGCCGCGGATCAGTTATGCACTGCAAACGCAGTATATGTGAAAGCACTATAGCGCGTGCTGCTCCTGTACCATATACGCACCGCATACGCACTGCACACGGAGTATGTGTGAAATGGGCGTTATGGTGTGTTCACACCGAACGCGAATTTAATTATTTGCGCGAGTAGATTACATACAAAGTCAATGCAAAGACGCGAATAGACGCATCATTCGCGCCGGGCGTTGCGAATGACGCGAATTGGGCGACGCGTTTGCCGCGAATGTCTTCCGCGCAAGTTGAAAAATTTGAACTCGAGCGAATGTTCAAGCGTCTAACTAAACGCGATAGACGCGTATTTGACGCTCTATTCGCGTTCGGTGTGAACACACCATTAGTCTTGTTTTCTTCTTTGGGGCCACTATTGCCCCTTCAAAATGTGTCCACTTTCCTCCTACCGTTCAGTTCCTTCTCCATCCAAATGCGGGCACAGCACCTCTGCTCTTCCACTTCTTTACAAAACCACCGGAAATGATATCTGATTTAGAGGAGCTAAATATGTATAGAACATGTGTAATTGATAACTTTTTTAAGATGTACTCTTGGAGGGCCAAGACAAGAAATTACATAATGATACATTACCAAGTCATGAATTCATGTTACTTTATAAGTAATTAATGAGGAGTTAGTAATAATGTGCCCCCTCAAGTAAAGTCATGACACAGTCAACAAGCCATTACTTTATGTTAGTGTATGGTTAGTTAATCATGAGTTAGTAATGATATGCCCCCTCAAGTAAAGTCATGACATAATGATGCATTAACAAGCCATTAGTTGATGTTAGTGTATGGTTAGTTAATAATCAATTAATTATGATGTGCCCCCTTAAGTAAAGTCATGACACAATGATGCATTAACAAGCCATTACTTTATGTTAGTGTATGGTTAGTTAATCATGAGTTAGTAATGATGTGCCCCCTCAAGTAAAGTCATGACACAATGATGCACTAACAAATCATTAACTAAAATATGAATAAACATATACAATAAGAGTGCCATCCTTATTCCTTTATACCCATGGTACAAAAAAAAAAATATATATAAAAATTATGTGTAGTTCTTTTATTTATACAATTAAACATATATGGACTTAAAAGAAAGTCCAAACATACCTGTAAAGACACACATAAGACACGTTTACATGTAAAATAGGGAATAAGCTATAAGCTAATGCTAATTGAAGCATATATATTTAAACACTTTTTGACAACACTTTTTAAACTTTTTGACAACACGTCTCACCACGAGTGAACGCTGGCGCAACTTGCTGCCGCTGCTCGTCGGTAACCTCTTATCTTTTGACTTTACATACTCACTTTTTGGTTCTATGACCTAATCGGACAGTGTAATTGCCTTCATTTGAAATACTTTTTTTTATTGGTATTTAAAAAGACAACACAGAATGATACATTCAATTAAAAATAAGAAATTACAGACTGTCTCAATTTAAACCCTTCCAGAACCCTCCCTCCCACCCACCAAAAAAATATATAGACATAGACAAGATAGATAAGTCAGGTCTCGAAGGAATGCCAAAAAGAGCAGTCAGGGGGTTGGGGTCCAACTCTATGTTAAGAGCATTATTAAGTGTATCAAAAACATTGGACCAAAAGTCTGTCATCCGAGGACAGCTCCAGAACATATGAAGATGATTAGCAGGAGACTGCCTGCAACGATGACAAGCATCACTCACATCTGGGAAATTTTTGCCAATCTGGCATTAGTAAGATGAGCTCGGTGGAGCACCTTACATTGCAATAGGCCATGTCTGGCACATATGGAAGAGCAATGGACTAATCTTAGAATTTCGTCCCATTGATCATCGGTAATAGAAACCCCCAGGTCATTCTTGGAATACTTTTATGAACTAACGGCACTACTGTTTGTCTGAGTCTTCACAGTTAGCTCACCTGTTCTGTTCTGGTTTGAGCCTCATCTGGCGTTTTCACTGGCCATCGATGCTGCTTAAATCTTCCTGTACAATGTGGGCCAGTAGAACATACATCTTGTTTGTCTGTGTCTGACTCTTTTTACTGCCTGTTCACCTGCTAGTGACGGGTTTGCTTCAGTATTTGGCAATTGACCTGCTCCGGCTGTGCTGTCACCAGCCTGGACCTGCGCCGGAGGCTTTCCATCTTATCCATCGCCTTCCAGCCTCGTCGGAGATATATCCACCGAGGGTCCCGCCGGAATTTCCACCACAACAGCTCAACAGTAATAAAGTCCATCTGGTCCAGCTCTCGTTGCCCTCCACGCTACACCAACCGGGCTGTCAACCACAGTGTGTTAGCCCGCCTAGCTCGATCGGCTAGCACCACCACCAGCTGTGACAACACTGCACTGAACTTCGCTCTGCTCAACATCCGCTCACTGACAGACATCTCATCCAGGACCTCATCTCCGATCGTAAGCTAGATTTTCTCTGTTTAACTAAGATATGGCAACAGGCCAACGACTTTTCTCAGCTCAATGAATCCACTCCTAGTGGGTGTGTTTACATCTGTTATCCCCGTGGCTCCGGCCGGGGAGGAGGTTTTGCGATAATTTATCGCGAGAAGTGGAAAGTCTCGCTGATATCTGTGCCTATCTCTAGCTCGTTTGAATCTGCTGTCTGCAAGTTGTCTGGTCCCACCCCAACCATCATTGCTACTGTCTAAAATTGCAAAACCGAATAGTGAATTTTAAATGATTTTGCTGCTTTTCTCACTCACTTATTCTCTCTCTCACCTAACATAATACTGCTAGGTGATTTTAATATCCTCTTAAAGACTTCATCTCTTGCCTAGAGAGTTTTGGATGCCAGCAATGTCACGGTTCGTAAATACATTGTTCCTTTTTGTCTCGTGTAGTTGTTGTTATGTGTGTGGGCGTGTGTGATTGTGGGCGTGACGGCTCGTTTCACTTGATCAGCGATCAGCTGATCAATCTCCTCTCCAGCTGCATCCAATCTGCTCTCCCATAAATACTCACTGCATTCTTCTCTCCTT